ACCTTCACATTTTTCATGATGAAGGTCATTACTAACGTATGAAAAATGTTTCACAGGCTCCTACTCATCTCACACTCCGGTCTTTGTTATCTCTCCTGCCATATGCTGTAACCATGCGACTCATTGCCAGGGACTATATGCACAGCCTCTGCACTAGCCAAATTGTTACAGGCTGTGATAATGATTGAACCCTGAGCACTTCCACTTAGAGCAAAATGAAGAACTTGAACAGACCTCTAAGCAAATTACTTTCATATATGTGAAATTGGTGCCAAAATATCAGAGCAGCCCCTAAAAGTAATCGGTACAGTTAGGACTGCATTAAGACATTATTTAGAAATATTTGCACATAGTGCTTTTATGCAACCACTTTAAAAACAGAAAAAGAAAGGGAATTATTTTTTTAACCCTATGCTAACATTGTATAGGAGAACTGACTCTGGCACAGAGCCCCAGAGAGGATAGGAATTAATGCACACATATCACTGGACAGTTATGTAAACCATCCACATAGAAAATCAGTTCTGTTATAACACAGTTTTCATGTGAATGTTGGAGAGGTTACCACTTCCAAACAAACATCTTGTCATTGCATCTATAATCTTGCTAGAACACTGCCTGCTTTCCTGCTCTCTCTCTCTTTTTATTCTTTCTTGTAGGCTCACAATTTCATAAGCACGCGAAACATTTCCCTTAGCATTCTGCTAATGCTCTATCAAATTCCACATTTGAAACTCTACTGAATATGTTAAAAGATAAGCTTTCTTCTCGGTCATCTGGGAAAAGTAAATTGAAATATAGGGAAGTCAGAAGTAAAACTATTGTGTTAGCTAATATGGTGAATGAACGTGATTATTACTGGTGTCTTGTGTGGGCTCTTCAAGGCTGCATCTACATCTTTACAAACAGTATACTTTCAAATGCCCAGAGCTATATTTAAGCGCTTGAAAATTGAAATAAGTGAATATTCATTTGCCTGGCAATGTTGAAAATTGCAGTATTTTGAGGATTAACACTTAGATTATGTCCTTCTCTGTCAACTGAAAGATCTTTTTGATATAATTTTATTAAATTAATTTAGAGTTGATAAAAAAGTTAATCATGTTTTCACAATCACTCCAATTATTTAAACACATAAAAATCAGCACAGCACCTAAGCCTTATTGAAAATTCAGTAAAGAAAAGGAATCTACATTTTATCACATCAAATTAACCAGGGAAAAAGATGGATGAAAAGGTAACTTTCAGAGGTGTATTTCAGCACATCCTATAGGAGCTTTGCTATACAAAATGTCTTCAAATAAATCACTTCCAATAAGCTTCCTGGCTAGAGGATTTGGAGTCATTACATGAAAAACATAAAGGGGACGTTTCAGCCTGTGAGCCTCACAAACTCGATCCATGTGTTTTTCGAATATTACTTCGTGCACTAGGGGGAGCTCCTGCAACTCTTTAGCACAATAGAACCCTAAAGACAATATAGGGAACATAATGGAAATAAAGCATGAGAGAGATTTCGGAAAAAAGACATATTCTTCACCCAATAGCAAGAATGACTGTATGAATCTGCACAACTTAATCTGCTTATATCTTCTGTGTTCAGTATGGTTTCCTCAGTACAAAGGAGATGAAGAAGCACTTTCCCCCTTTCAGGATGTATGCTTTCAATGAAGAAGGCACAACTTTATCTAGGTTTTAAACAGTCATAGAGATTAAGTTGTACAAAGAAAGCTAGCGTGGTTTTTGAGGTGAGATGTTGTTTTAATTGAGTGTGTCACAGGAAAAATATATGTGAGCAGGTAATCAAAGTCTGTACCATAATAAACACGAAGAATTGAAGTCCATACCATAACAAACACGGATAAGAGGACTTCATTAACACTGCTCAGTCAGCCTCCATTCTTGAAATTCTCTGCTTTTGAGCACTTAATTTTTCAGCCTTCCTTTCAAGCAGAATTTTTTTTGCATAGTTTCTTGAGGATGTGGGGATTCTTTTAGCAAACTGCAATATAGGAGATTCCATTACGGAAACTTGGATCATTAGCAGGGTTAGGACTTTTTAACTATTGACTACTTGAATAAATAGAACAATTGTAATTAATCACAGATTTCTATTCTTTCTGTGGATCGTTCCTATGCTCTCTTAGGCACAGCATCCACAGTTTGCAAAGGAGTTTAAGACATTTACTGATAGCAGAAAAAGGCATTCAGCACCACACTCCATAGGAGAGTGGAGATTCATGCTCTCGACGGGTCTGTCCTCTGTTCTTACCCACATTCATTCCTGTGTCTCTACAAGACATTTCTGCAATGCCCTCTTCTTTAAAACTACCATATATCCCATGCCTCCAGAGAAGAATGGGCTATTTCTTTACTCATTTCCTACTTGGGCACCAGTGGAGAGTATAAAAGCACAGGGGAGAGAACTGTGGTTTTCAGTTAGGGTCTGGCTTTATAATAATCAAAACGTTGCTCTAGCAACTAGAATGAGTGATTGTGAGAAAACCCACACCGTTAAGCATTGACACAGGAATGCCCAAGCAGCCCAGGACCAAAGATGAACAGTGTGGGAATTCTGCACACGCAACACGCACAGCCTGTGTTCACAAGCTTGCAGTTACACTGTAATGAGCCTCTAGTGAGCTGGTTTCAACTGAGATTTTTCAAGGCTTAACAAGACGCTTTATTTTGTAGGGGGTTGCAAATGGCACTCCTTATGCCAGAACAAGCCCCAGATGTCGAGCTGTTAGTCCAAAGAATAAGATTGCTAGTGTATCACTGGGAAAAGCTATTTAGTATGTGCTATGTATTTTCCCTCAACCTCCATGTCAGAGAGGTTTGATCCATTTCAATTTAAAAATCAGCCAGAAGCATACTCTCAGCATGGCAAATTCAGTGTAAACAGTGAAAAAGTGGCCAAATTGTAAGAACAGGATCTTGTAGTGGGAAGCACCATGAAACCCTGCTGCCAGCTCTGCTGGTAATGTATGGAAACAGAACCACTACCTATTCTGTCTGCATGCTGGAACCCGACCTCCCCCGCGTTCTAAGTACTCTTCTGTATCTTTTCCAAAAATGTATTTGAAATTATTATTGATTTTGTCATTTTGGCTTTAGGGTTATATTCATCTCACAGATCCAGCTATATCCAACTCTACCCCATGAGAATTTTCGAAAACTAGATCTAGAGAGACCGGTGTACAGATATTAGACTGACTAGTTAAAAAGACCGAAGCTGTGTTATTTTCCCTGATGTAAGACAGCTTTAAATTGACTTTGTTTCCATTCCCCAAAATATAACTGAGGACAGTAACATACTCTGTCTCAGTATTTTATGCTCAATTTAACTGCTATATTCCATTAAATGATGTGCAATAATGTAACCCTAAATGCAAATGAATTCGTGTTTCGTAAAAGAAAATCTCTTTGCTGCCTTCTCCAAATAGAATTTTTTTATAGATTTTAATGAACTAGGAAAACCAAACATCCCCATATGGTGAGAAAATTTCAAGGCACGTATTAAAAGAAAAATCTTATGTTACTCATCAAAAACTAATAGATGTGACAGGAGAAAAAAAATTAAGCTATGAAGATGAAACTCAAATAATTAGCAAATACGGAAAATCATCTATTACAGTGCTTGTAAGAGACTCAGCACAGGCTAAAAGACAAAAACATGCATTTCATATTTCAAGAGTGGAATATATTAAATTTCTTTTGAAGCAAATTATTTATAGTCATAAACTTCCCTGGAAAATTAAAACAACACACACACCCTGAAATAAATGCATCATTATGATCAGAACTACTGAAGACGTTCTGTCTAAGAGTGTAATGTTTTCTTACCATATGAAAGACTTCGAGGAACTTTCTCTGAACCTCAGAAAGTTCCTCACTCAGTCTTTTTCTGGACATTAGAGAGTAGCCTGCAGGCCTCTCCGAGCTGTATTTGCTGCTAGTCCCATAGGCATCATTCTGGCAATCTAATGATATAAAGTAAAGATACCCTACAAACATTTCCCTTTCCCTGGATGAATGCCCTTCCCTGATGCAGTAGCCATTTTGAGAGTCATGTATCACCCTAAAAGAAGCAAAATATATAAAATCTACAAACACGGGGCTGTTTTCTGGTACCCGGTTATTTTGTATTTCAAATAGCTGGCAAAAATTCTGGCAATTTGGCCCTGCAATCCCAGTATCTCCCTGATCATTCAAAACTGACTGCAGGGCATGAAGACTGACATGTTGCGTAAGCACTGTAACAGTTGTACAGTTTAAAATTGCAGGAATGAAGCTCGCTTGCAGTAAACAAAATACTTGCGTATTTATCTCTGCTGCACTTACCTTTCACTTAACACAATTAAAGAGAACTGTGGCCGTATGGCAAAAACACAGAACTAGGATTCATGAACCATTTCTATACTGTGTAGGTACTTCTGCCACATTTGTCATGGGACTGTCTGAGCTCCTCCAGGATGAAACAAGGTGACAAGCATCTGTCACATATTTACTCTCTCAGCTTCTCTCCACAGAAATGCGTACAGTGTGGGAGGGAGAAGGATGGCTGTTTTATATATGTGTCTTGGAAAGGAAGTTCATATGGTTTGCAAAGGACCTTATTCCTGTAAAAGTCATTGAACAGTTTGAGCCTGCCCCAGCCAAGTTCTGTCTCCTACCCAGGTGAATGTTACTTTGTGCGGGAGGAGTCCTGTTGTGCTAGAAAAGCCCAGCTATTGGCAGCAGTATTAATCACTAAACTTTGCTCAGTTTCTAAAATACTTTGTACCTGAAAGTGTATACCACCCTTAGCTGAGCATCACTGCCCATTAATGGGGGGATATCACTTTCTAGGAAAGACAGGTGGTTTTACCTTGTTACCTCTATCTGCTTCAGAAAATACAACATCTTTTAGTTTGGATTCTACACCCGGTGCTTTCATTGAGAGGTCAAGCAAGACCCCTGACCTAGTTTAACTCCAAGTGTAGCACTGAAATGCCAACATCTTAGAGGCGCACTGAGACTTAACTCGTAACTGTTTGTAAAATGCTTACAGAATGAAACGTGCTATCTAAGTATCTAAGAATTATTACTCAGTGCATGGAAAAATGTTTATTTTCATACAGGATAAGGCTGTGTCAGGAAGTGGTATAGCATTAGTGAATAAGACTCTAGAAAAAGGAACTGCATACCGTTACATTTATACATTTAATAAAGGCTGAATGTGACAAGTAAGAAAGGTCAGTACCCTTGAGGAAGCAGGACAGACAGACAGGGAGAGGTGGAAGTAGTTATTTTCGCATTAAGGAAACACGCTAAAATATTCATTGTCTTTATCGGCTGTCAAGAGATGTTTTTTGTATAACAAAAATACCTTTAACCTTTTAAAGACATCACACAACTGCATCCAATTAAACTCCTATGTCCAGAAAGAAGGCATCCAAGCATCTGTTTATTACTGTAAGTTTTCTACTCCTGCCATAAAAAAATCTGAAAGTTGTTAATCTTCACAGCAATGCCTGATACTGTTTCTTCCCACTATTATAATTACTTTAAACCCAGCATATAAATATTCATGAGTTCTTTCATGTGGGTCCTCATCTGGTGAGACCGAAGGCACAGAACTATTTTACAAAGGGGAACTGGGATGTAAAGTTGCTCTCTGAACACAGGAGAAAATTCACCCTGAGCAAAGGTCCAGAACAATGCCTATGCATCAGTTAAGATTCAGTTAAGCCTTAAAATAGGATGAATTATGAATTTTATGATCCATTGGCTATGCACTGGTCTTGTCACGGTGCTGCTTTTCTTCTTTACCCTCAGCACCTTTCTGACAAAGATCGCACAACCAGATTGTAACACAAACTTCGGCAGCAGTACACTTTCTAATAATGCTGATCCTGAACCAGTTGCTTTCTCCAGTTATATGATACAATGTCTAAAGCATCCTTATAATTTGTATACTGTACTCACATGCATCAGCCACATGCTTTGCATTTGCACGTGGTTCTTTTCAATTTAATGCTGTACTTTTGCATTTTTCATTACCAAATCCCACCACCACCACCAAAAAACAAAGGCAAAACTAGGTAGGATTTACCTTATTACAATTTTTAGAAACTTGGCAAAGAGCACTGCTTGACATACTGTCCTTATCTGGCAGTCCTAAAAAAAGAATACAGAAAATAAATACATACTGTATATTCTTTAAGTAACAGTGGACATATTTATCAATAGAATAGCGAATTGGAGCGTTCAATACTTTGATAACATACACATTAATCTATGTTTTTTTAAGAGCAAAACAGATTTATTCAGACAAGTTTTCTCTTGCGAACACAAAAAAGACAAAAAGCTAACTTGCGTCAATACTATAAACAGCTTGCTAAACGTAGTACTTTCTCACAACTTAATATTTGAAGTATGTAGACAGGAATTATTTATATTTTTTCATTTAACATTATCTGTGTTTTAGTACCTTGAAGTCAAACGTGACATTGAATTTGCACTAACTAGCATTGCTATGCTATGCTATGCTATGCTATTGTTTCACAAATAGAACATATTGAACACACAACATACAGGGCAAAATTTGCACATGCAATTGCTAGCCATCAGATATTGTCCTGGTTGGCATCTAAATAATCCTCTGGCAACTAAATAAAAGTACCATGATTTACAGAAGTGACAAGTTCCAAAGGCTACCCTTGGATTCACGTCTACAGCACTATCCCACAGTTTGACAGGTTCTCATGAGGCAGACATACCCAAACTTACTTAGCTGTGTAACTAAGGTCAGACAGCAGCATGTTTACTGCAGGCTGTCTGCCCAAGCACTAACCTAGGTTCCCAAGCAAGTTGTGTAGCCCATCCTAACTAAAAAAATAAGCCAGTTGGTTATATTTATTTTACTAGCAGGACTCATGGCCATGTTCCACGGAATTCATGTAACACCTATAACCAGTTAAATGTTGCATGACATCATACAGTATGCTTTAGTCAACAGGCCTGGCTCATAGTGCAGATTTGTGTACAGCTTTGTGTACACTTTTATACAGTTGGGAATGCAGTTAGGCAAGTTCCAAAGTACTTCCTACTATATGAAGTATTAATACAGTCGTAATACTGAATTGAATTTAACATTTAAAATCCAACACCCAAAACCAGAGGACTTTCATCTTCCCCTTTCTTCTCTTTTTTCTAACATCTGACATCTATTTTCTCATACTTACTGTCATTGTTGGAGCCGGCTTCCATAACACCATAAGGAGGAGTGAGAAGTCCAGACATATACTGTCGATATTTCTGAAAGACAGCGATGGCACATTCGGTCAGCTACAGATGTATAAAGCCATTCAATGGATGATGTGGTATTTACATCTGTGTGTCTGCTGCCTTGTGCTTCACATGCATACAAGCAATCTGAGGCAGTCAGACATGTCTTTACTCTTAATACTACAAGGCCCGCTTTCTTGACTGGAGCACACTGCCTTTATTTTATCAAAAGTTGTGCTAAAACAGTTCCCTCCTCCATCTTCCCCAAAGCATGACTTTGAGGGTCCTAATAAACCAATATTGTACTTAGTTGTGTGATTTCCCATAAAGGCTGTTTTAAAGCTCGTTTGAAATTACACTACTCAGCTGAACTCAAGCTAGAAAGCTACTTTATTGTAGGGATGGAGACGAGGCTGTTAACTAAGAATTCATGAGAATCATGTACCACTACAATTTTGGTGTCAGATTTGAAACATACAAGATTTAGTGCAAAAATATTTAATTCCAACACACTAAGTTTGGTTTTCAGAAACTACAAGGTTATGAAACACCCAAACCCAGCACCTCATGTTATGCATACACACACACAAAAACTGTATTATCAGATGAAACTTTGTAACTGTAAAAATAATGTCCCTTGTACCACTGTAAACTACATAATTGCAACTGATGTCAGTAACTGGTATTTTTCTTCAGTGAATGCTGGTGAAATGATCAATAAGGTTCAAAGCTCTGTCTAGGGCTTAAGAAATTCACAGAAGCTAAAAAATAACACCAAAGGAAAAAAATGTCCTTTTATCAAACACAAATCATTCAATGAATAATTGAGACATTTTTGTTTTCAATCATACTATATTACTGTCATGCTTAAGGGTAAACAATTATAATTCCCTTTTGGAACTGTCAGAAAACAAGCTTGTGCAACAGGGATGCTGATGATCAGCATAAACAAAATGTTTCATGCTGTCCTTAGGGTGTGCAGTGAGCTGAACGTGAACAACCAACCAGCCGAAATTCGTGCAGGTTTCAACTAAGCACACGTAATTGAGACAGAAAATTTCCCTCAGTACAATTTTAATTTAAAAGTTTTATCTTTTGCTCTATGGAGCTGTTTGGATGTATTTAAAATATTCTATTATAAAGAGAATATTTTATATATTCTTTATATAGAATATATTTAAAATATAACTTTTAAAATGTTGTTTGCTGGATTGTAACAGATGCTTGAATTATCCTTTTAACATTTCTTTCTCTTGGAAATAGATATGAAAATATCACCAATTCTAGCACTAAAGACTGCCTGTCTTGCATTCTAAATAATAACAAGCTACACGTATTACATTAATCTTAATAATCCAATCCTATTTTTAGACAAGCTATTACATCCTAAAGCTTAGTAATGTATTATTTAAATCTCACCCATAATCCGGCTGAAAACTCGTAGGAGCAAGACTATGTTATATCCCTGGTCAGTCACACAAAATAAATGCTACTTCATTTGAGGATAAAACTCTCCTATTTTCTTTCCCAAACTGTTTGCTTTCCCATACTCTGCATCTAGTCCTATGCCTGCAACTCAGTAAAAGGAAGAACATGAGAAATAATTATTTTCTCAGTTCAACTAGTAAACCACACATGTAAAACAAGGGAAAAACTCATTTTGGTTGGCCAAATGAAAAAAAGGAAGGCATGTCACAAGGGGTTGAAATAACATTTTATTCAAACAGTAGATAAGCATTTTGTTCTATCTTCTACTGAATTTGGTCTTGAAATGTGATTTAGAAATGGAAAATTGAAATGTTTCATTTGGGATATGATAAAACCAAATTTTATAGGGTTTTTTCTTTTGTTCTTCCTCACTGTTCATATGATATTCGTTTCTTTGTTCTGTTTTTCCAAAAATAACATTTTCCCGGAAATACATTATTAGTCCACATTTAATCCACCTTGATAAGGAACTTGAATTGTAGGAAGACAGTCATTTTCTCTTTTACTTCCTACACCACGTTCACAGTCATCATACACTGCATGGCAGTTTCCCTTCTGATTAATTCTCTAATATTTTTCCTGATTATTCTTCTCATGAAATGAAACATAGAACACACCATCTAATTTCCAAAAGATTTGGGGGCCTAGCTTAACAAAAATACCTACAGGTAGAATAAGCCAGAATTGCCCATAACACTTGAAAGGAGGCACCTAACCCCACTCAGCCCCACCTCCTGCTCAGGATGCCAAAGCCCACCAGGAACAAAAGCACGGGCTGCCAAGGACTTCAGCTCTGTCATCTTCCACATGAAGGTCCCACCCTGCCATGGGATGAGTCTACTTACGAGTCTGACACAGCAAGCTCAGTGAGCACTGCTGCCTGTGAAGGAGTTCAGGCAGCATTACCAGAAGAGGCACTAATTCAAGACATGCACTCAGAAAGCTCAGTTGTTCAGACTCCTCCAGGGGACCTCTGTGTAAATGAAACTACCTTCTATATCTGGGTATCTGGAGGGAAGGCTGATCTGACTGCCTACACATGGTCTCCCATGAAGATACCTCGGTGGGGTGCGGGCTAACATAGGAGGTATAATTTACACCTAAAATTGTGTCACTGCATCAGCCAAATTAAATGTCAAGGGACACTTATTTGTCAAGAAGTCAGGGAAACACTGTTTGCTGGAAAACCTAAGTATCCAAAGAAAGATGTAAGTAACTGCATAAAGATTCACAGTATCAGGTGGCGTAATGAAGTTCCAGGCATGAGATCTCTCAAAGCTGAGATAATGAGGAAAACACAATACTGACTGTGAGATCTATCTTGTTACCATGTCTGTAAATGAAAAGAAAATGCAATAAGTTAAATTGTACTGGTAGGTGGCATTTAAAATCATCCTGAAGATTAAAAGACTAAATATTTACAAAAGGCTTTTGAAAACATATTCCACTGGTGGTATGAACTCTGGAAAGGCTTTCCTTATGAAAGACAACAACAGCTATCAAATCATCATAAGCTTGTTTATTACCAGAAGTCTCCAAGTTCTGTAAATCCAACATGACAGCAGGTTTTAAAACTACAGTCAGTGACCTATTCACTCTGTCTTCAGATATCTACCGATTTATAAACTCTATCATGCAACAGCTTAAAGATCAGACACTTCCTGCATCTAATCTGACAGCACAAGTAATAAAGACAGTATTTTTTCTTCCAGTTACTGACCGCCTCATATCCATGCAGTGGTGAAAATTAACACGACCTTTTCAGCCACTGCTATAGCCTAAAGCACAGAAGAGTGCTGACAAGGAACAGTTGGGGATGGGAGAAAAGGAGGAAAGAGAATCACACACTTGCCTTACTGGGGAGGTGCTGTGGGTGAATTTTCATACCAACAGTTTTTAAGGCCACTTATTGTCAGGCTTTTCAGTGTGTTCCTTCACATGCTCTTATTTAGACTTTATTTGCAGTTAGCTGCAGTTAGTCTCAGGGGTTTTCATGCCTACAATAGATTTTCTTTAACTCTGTGAACATAATTTGGTATATTTTCATATGCTAATGTTTAGAAAGGCAATTACTATAATTCTGATGCAACCTATCTTTAAATTCCTTACAAATTTTTCTAGTGTACATAAGGTATATAAAATATGTCGTTGTAGTTAGTCCCTCTCTTCTGCTGCAAGTACTGAAGAGCTAATAGCTGTTTAAAGGGAAAGAAGGAGCAAAGAAGAGACCTGTGCAATACAAACACTCCAAATCAAGCCAGGCAGATGTAAAGAAAATAATGAGCCTTTGTTGTCTTCCATGTGCATTGCATAGCAAAACCACAGCACTCTAACGGGAAAGACTCAGGACTGTTGAAGGGAAGACCTTCTGGGTATAAAGCTTTGAATGCAGGTTCCACACCAGATACTCCCCCAAGTGCAGCAGTTCTCCAGTCAGCAGAGTATCTGATGGGCTGTGTAATAAGGATCCAGGTAGTGATGGTTTGTAGCACTAGGGAGTCAAGCCAGCTTCTAATGCTTCCCCATCCCACGGTAAACCTCTATGTGGCCAGATACTAGGAAGTGAGGGTCTTGTTAAATTGCAGAAGGTTTTGTAGACCACAACAGGTTCTTCGTTGAACACATGATCTCTCTCTTTCCCTTTCTCTTTCTCCCCGACTCAGAGTCTCAACCCACAGCGTCACTTTTGACCAGATGCACTTGTGCTGCTTCCTGTTCTGCCTACCACTGGCAGCAGAGAAGGTGACAAGGCAGAGCCTGCATTACTTGCAAACTTGGGAGTAACACAAAATAATTCATTTCAGTTGTAGAAATCCTAGGCCAAACGTCAAGGTGCCCTTTCTATACATGCTTTTCAAAACCTTGTGTAACTATTTTATTAGATGCTGTTATTTTGACTATTACCTGAGTTCTGCAATCCTCCTCTACTAGCTGTCCATACTCCTGTAATGGTTTCTCTTGGGGAACACATACTGTAGCTTGACAATGTGGGCCAGCTTCTCTATTTTCTTTTGACAATAAATAATTGATCACTGATGCTCTCTCTCAGTACAGCTCTGTTCTTCCTCTAAGTTGGCTGCACCAGTCATACCATTTTGGCAATGAACCACCTCCCTTGCGAGCATTACTCACAAGGGTGTGTCACTCCCATGGTGCATTGTTTCTTCTTATCTTTTTTCCAGAACAATAAGGAGTGATGTGAAAGAGCCCTTGAAGATCTCTGGACCCTCTTTTCACCCACCAAACCAAGCAAAGATTGCTGTCTCAAAGTCTAGATCTTTGCTTTGATCTGATGCTCCAAAGATTGCTCTTCACTGAACTGCCACGTAAAATCTCAGGTCATCTGCCTGCTATCCGTTAGTGTTTTCCAATAAAAAGTGCCTAATGTTCGTACAGAATTTCACAAAAAAAACCCCCTGATTATCATATTCATAGTTGTTTTTTACCCAAATCTTGTTACAAAGGGGAAACCAAACAACACACTTGCTGTTGCCCAATAGTATGTGCTGAGACCCACAGAAGACTCTGGCATAATTCTGATT